TGAAAATTACAGGCCTCTCATATCTTTTTAAGTGGGAGAACTTGCACAACTGGTGGCTGACTAAATACTTTTTTGCTCCATTGTATACATGGAAGTTATGATGAAATCTTAACGCATTATTCTGTTTTTAACTCTACTTACTGTATGTCCTAATTCTAGAGTTAAAGAAGGGCTTATAGAGATTGATAGCAAAGTTTTTGAGATTATTGAACTTTCTCTAACTGGTAGACTTCTGGCACCTCTGCTTCTGCTTCACTAGTGTTGCTCCTCCGTGCTCTTCACCCTCTTGTGGGTCTTCAGCATGCTTTTCCAGAACATATCCTTGTCCTCTTGGGGATCTCAGCCCATTTGGAATTAATGAGCCTTCAGTAATATAATCTATTTTGGGATTACCACCACACTTTCTGTGTCTTAAACCTAACTGTCCATTTTCAACAGCCATTTCTTGCCTTCTCCATTTTATGTGCCAGAAATTTTCCAAATCTCCATTCCAGTTCTTCCCCCTGAGTTCTGAGTTTTCTAAAAAGGCTTCTTGCCTTGATGCCAGCTCAGTCCAGTGGCCACTCCTATCTCCTATGATATAAGCTTTTCTTATAAATCTAAGCTAATACCTACTCTCGGCTTCTTGCTAACCACAAAGTTAGCACAGCCTGGCTCCAAAATGTTTGTTTGGGTTAGAGCATGGAAGTTTGGATATGTGACAAGGGAGATAGGACAGATGAAGGGCACATGTCACAAGGGATATGTGTGAAAGATGAAAAATGCTTTGTTTTGAGCCTCATAAAACAATATTACTCAACTTTTTGCTGGGATTGATCTGGGGGCATATATTGTCATATTTGCAGTATCTGGAATTTATTTTGCATTGGGATTTTTTCTTTTAGGAGGTATTAAAGCTGCGTGTCCAAGTAGCAAAGGAAAAACAAGCAAGGGGAGAGCTCCAAGATCAAATTAATGAAATTCAGGGTATTAGACGATTTGATCCTTCTAAAGCTTTCCAGCATTCTAACAAGGAAAATGTTGGTCCCAAAACACCTTTTAAAGAAAGTGAGTACTCATAAGTATATTCTATAAATATTAACAAGTTGGGCTTGGGGAATTAGTCTGATATTAGATGTATGCATTAACTAGCAGAGTAGCTTTAATATGTTTTATTCTTATTTCAGCACTATGAATGCATTTGTTTTATTGATGATTTAATTAACTAATTGGTGGAAGTAATTCCAGTAATTGGGCAGATCAGAAATACAATAAAATAAATTCTAAGTCTTCTGTAATTTAAAAATAATAGTTTCAATTAACTTATCTTCACTATTTAACAGGTAACGAAAACAAAAATCAAGCTGTTCTCTGCTGAACAAGAACAAATTCATACTTGAGAGATTCATCTTTCCAAGAAAGTATTGATTGTCTACTATTTTGTGTGCTTCAATCTATATTTCTATAATAGAAAGCTCTCTTTAAATATCTCTCTAATAAAGCAAGTAATACTTACTTTTAAACTATCTAAAATGCAAACAGCTACAGTACTTACATCTTAAAATATCAGTAGGTCACAATGATAAAACATTAAGTGCTAGCCTAGTAATTTTTGTAGATGACATTGGTATATAACACCTAAGTGAAATTTGTTTATACACACACCCAGGCTATGTTAGATAGTTAAACTCTGACTTATATACAGTATTTTAGAAATTGAAACAGTTGCTTCAGTGATCATAAATAGCTCATAGTTGTGGAAGTACTTAGCCTTCAAACACTATGCAACTTATAATTTACAAATTTTTCTGTTGTTTAATTAGCATGTGAATTGATTTTGTTTTTTTGCATGTGAATTGAAATATGTGTGGCTCTGATTTTAAAGATTACATTAGGTTGTAGTGTTATTTGATTTTATTCTTGGCTCACCATTTTATTTAGAAGAATTTGTGAAACCCTCATGATTACAAGATGCTTGTCTTGAGCTGGACCATTTCTTAATTTTAGGGTTTGTAACTGGTATATCCCTTAGTTTCCTATTTGTTATCTATATCCTATTCTTCTGTGGAGAGAACAAACACAAAAGGAAATTCTTACTAATAAGTGTATGGAAGAAGAGACTTTGATATTTGGTTAGTTCCTCCTGCCAGCCAAACAGGTTTCATCAGCAAAACAAAGCAAATTTTTCCTGTCCTCATTGTGCCTACCCTGGAGCAATTCTTTATTTTTACAATACTGATGATGCTAAGAAATAAACTTTTATTACTATAACTTCTATGTGGAGCTGCTTATCATTCCATTCCCAGAATAACTAACCAGAAGCTCTGTAAGCTTCTTTGTGGCAAGTTTCTGACCAGGACTAGATGTGATGTTTGTTTTCAATGTGTTGAAGGTTGAACCTGTTTGGATATGCCTGTATAGTCTTTTCAGTGAAAATTAACCATAAGATACTATTAATCATTACTTTGATTCTTAGGGAATGTGTCAGAATTTTTTTTTCTTTTTTTAGATATATGATACTATACAGGTTTTTATATACAATAAAGATGGTTGCATGGATGGACAAAATTCAGCAATTCAGACCATGCCAAGCTGCTTCAGATTTGAGGAATTCTGGAAGTAGCTGAATTCTCAGAGATATACCAAGTTCTAGACGGAGATCTGATTGTTCTATTCCTTTCTGTTTGTTAAAACATTTTAAACTTTTGAAATGGCTTATCTTCCAGATTTTACTGTGCAGAGTTTCTGGAAGTTAGTTAATGGAAACTATTTAGTTTAGGGCTGCAAAAATCCTGAGGGCAACCAGATTGTGTTTGGGTCCAGCCAATTGACCCTCATTACCAGGTTTGGGACTCGGTGCGAGGTAAACAGAACACCAAGATGAAAATCAGACTTTTTCTATCCACTTTATTTTAGAGCTCTAAACAGACTGGAGACTCCCAGCTAATGGAGGGAGTCCTGATTACAGATTTTACATACAGTGGGGCAAAAAAGTATTTAGTCAGCCACCAATTGTGCAAGTTCTCCCACT